TAATAAGGAACAGAAAATTAATTTTTCTGAAATTCTAATAGTAAAATATTTTTATATTAAAAGTGTCTTGTCTTGCAGTAGGCCTTTTTTTCTTGTCAGCCTAGCTAATGCACAAAAATAAAGTACTACAATAAATCAATCTATAGCCCAACAATGTTACTAATAATATTTTTCTGCCTGCTACCAACATAAGAACATGTATATGCATCAGAAAAATTATAAAAATGAAGATATTTCATCTGGCCAAAGACCCTGTACTACAGTACAGGAACTTTGACCCAATTTTTGAGCAACTTTAATAATTTGTAAAAAAATCTACTTTTGATCGGAATCAGCCCTGGTCTACTGCTAGTGGCTAGGATACCAGTACTATTATCAGTTACTTTAGTTGATAGTTTCATTGAGTCACACTCCTTCCTCTTGCCAATGCTATTGACAGTGTTAGTTATTGTCCTGTCAGCACTGAGTCATTGTTTTGGCAGAGTTTACAAAAAGAAAAATGAACAATGTACTTGAAGTTTGGTTCTTGTTTAACTTATGCATCATGGTTGGTCTATCTGTAGCTTTTAATGAAGACTGGTAAAATATTGATCTGGTACAATACTCGTTTATCTGTTTTTATTTTCAGTTTTATTTTGATTGTTGTTTATCATCTTTACCTGCAGTTATCACATATATATGAAATGATATGATGCTCTAATTAAGAACTGAGCTACTCAAGAAACAAGATGAAGATGATGAACCTTTTTTAGATGTAACTATAAACCACATAAAACTGTTGATCAACAAAGAAGAGAAATTGTACCAAGTTCTAATGATGTTAGACTCAGTACTAGCCGCGAATCAGTTGTTGAGTTGTTTTAAATGTTTTAGTAGTATAGTGTTTTTGTTGGGAGTTTTAATCATTTTTACTATTATAGATTTTTTAGTTCATAGTGTTACTTAGAAAGCTTATTTTAAATTACAGTCTCGTGTGTGTGTGTAATTTTTTTCTTTTAAAACAAAGATAATTCACTGCTTACTTACTTAGACACTGGGTCCATTGAATGGATTATATAGCAATCACTTTGAAATATCACTCAATCAAAAATAGGAAGCATACCACTCACTCTCTCAAGCTACTTTAAGCCCTCCACACACCAGGCAACATGTTGCTAACAACATTTGTGGTTACTTTGATCTTGTAAGCAACATGTTGCTAAAAATAGAAATCAGTTCTATTTTGCAACAAGTTGCTCAAAAGATCAAAGAAACCACAAATGTTGCTAGCAACAAGTTGCCTGGTGTATGGAGGGCTTTAGACTGATCCTCAATGGGAGTGTGAAGATTGACGTTTTTCATGCAGCCTGATCCTTGTGTAAAGTTTGTTTAAAGTGAATGCCATATACTGGAAAGGCTCTTGCTCCTTCTTCTGGTAAGTTGGTACGATGATGACAACAAGTGGGACAAGTAAGATAGTTGGTTTTATCGAAAAGTAATTCCTTCAGACAGTGCTGACAGAATGAATATAGACAAAGTAAAGTCTTAAGGTGGGCATCCACTATGCAGCATTGCTTGTCGTTAAACCTTTGATGTGGTTGGGCAACATGTTGCATGAAGTAGAGAAAGTATCAATTTCATGCAACATGTTGCACAACCACATCAAAGTTGCATAGTGGATGCCCACCTTTAGGGTTGGTATAGTGTTTGAGACAGATAGGACAGGTGAGTTGTTCCTCCAGTTTGAGAAGACCAGAATGAAGATGGTTGGGCTGCCGTTTAAGCAAAAAGGAATGAAGCAGAGAAGAGAAGGTGACTATAGTAGGCAAAGCAAATGATAGACAGTAGAAAAGAAGCCTCAAAAAGTGCAAGAGGAGGTGAAACCTTAAATATATTCAAAGCCTATAGTCAATGTTATGGCAACTGAATGCATTATGCACCATAGGAACTATAGGTCATTATCTATGTTAATATATACATACTGACAATGGTGTCATCAAGGGAGTGCAACTGATACATATGGGCCATAGTTGAACAAGATGAATCGTTAATAAAATAATACATTATATAGAGTACATGCACCTGCAAGTTTCTAATGCTACGCCCTTTTCTTCATGGCTTGTTATGATAATTGTATCCATTATATATACATAATAAAAATCTTTGCTTTCCTTCTCAGTAGTAATCTAGTAAGATTGTTTTCCTTTCGCTTTCCCTCTCTCTACACAACTAAGTTTATCATCATGTTGTTCACAAATAAGTATACTTTGATATTTATAATGATAGCAATGACAGATGCTAATTTTCATCATGATGTGGCTGATTCAATTAATGTCTGACACTGATCATCAATAATGATATTTCATGTTATTTTTTTTATTTTTGTCTTTCATTAAATGAATGACAAAACAATTGAGTAGAAGATAAATACAATACAAGTAATGTCAATTGTCATGCATGATTAGTAAATTATTGATCTC